GCTGGCAATATTTACAAGCCTTCATTTTTTGACATGACTCGGTTGAATGATTTAATGAACTTAACGAGTTCGTCTTGTCGTCTGACCTAATCCGCCTCTGCTCCACGCCAGGCACCGGCGCGAGTTTCGCCGCTCTTCGGTCTGGCGATTCAGTCAGTCTCGTCCCATTCGTCTTTTCATTATACCGTCCGATCGGCGCCGTGTACTTTTCATCTTTTCTCTGCTTTCCCGACCAATTTGCAGTCGTCGCCGGCATTCGGCAACTGCATCCAAGCCGGCTCCAGTTGACTAGAGTCGGAGGACGCCTCTGGCTCTAGTACGCCCCCTTCGAGACTCGTTCGTGGAATGCATGCTCACTTGCGGACGGACTCGAATCATGCGACCAAGTCGCAGGCGAACCCTTCACTTCACAGATATCGCAGGTTCTCTCCCTCATCGTCTCACTTCACCCTTTCAACAGACCTTATTCGTTTAGACAAATTGGTTTTATGTACATCTAATGGCTTTTCAGCTCCTTCTGCCAATGAAAAGGAAATTTTCGGTCATCAACTTCTCAATCGTTTACTACACCATACATTTGTCCTGTAAATTTATTGCTGTTTCACCTTCTTTCATACCAAAATATACCCCAATGTTGATACTTTTTCCTTTCTCCACTCCCCTGCTACTCTGGTTCACGTGGTCTCCTCTCCTGCCCACTCGGCTTGTCGGCCATGGCCACGGTTCGTTGCTGCCTAGTTCCCACTGGGCATCCACGGGCTTCTGGCGTTGTCTGATGTGTAAGTATACACACATGTACACGCGCAAGCACACACACACACACACACACAAACAAGGATTAGTGTATGAAGATGCATTAGGCGCAGGTGGCAGGCTCGAGAGTTAAGAAGCTTGAGGGTGAAGTGACATTTTCGACTCAGCAGATCGGGTTTCAGAAGAAAAATATTCTTTTGGCGCCAAACTGGAGCTATGATTTAATATTTGCAAAGGCGATTTGTATATCAGTTTAGGATTACTCAAGACCTGGGGTGGGTTTTCTCGAGGGATTGCGAAAGAAAGGGCGGCAAGAAATTAGCCCAGCATCTCAAACGGTCTTTGGCGCCAAGTGAGCCAAGTGTCTATTAATTGTCGCGGAGCATGTAGATACAAGAAAGTGTATTCTATTGACATGCTTAGTCGCTGAGCTCAGCACCGATGCCGCGATGCATTTACAGACATATATATGCATGTATGTATCCTAGTGTCTATGGCGATGTGTTGGTGTGTGTGTGTGTATGTGGGTGAATGGAGAAGGAGACAGATCTCACTTTTCGCTGTTTCGTCGAACAGGACTTCATTATTGGCACACTTGCTCAGACGACTTGGCAGAAACTGAGGCTCCAGAAGTCAGACTT